CCAAGCTTTCAATTATTTTGGGTGTAAATCCAAAAGTAAAATTACTGTATCATATGGTAATTCTAGTTTTAATTTTTGGAGGAGCCACCATACTGTTATCCCTAGAGGTTGTACCATTTTACATTTCCATTAACAGTACAGGAGGGTCCCAATTTCACCACATTCTTACTAACACTTGTTTTCTGTTCCTTTCTCTTTTTTTGTTTTTTGATAGTAGCCATTTTAATGGATGTCAGGTAGGTAATTCTGGTCATTTGATTTTAGATGAGACATTTAATTTAGCTACATTTCTGTCTCCTTTCCTTAAAACAATTTTTCATGACATTTGTCTAAAAGGACCAAATAAATGTAATACTTGTGAATATGTCTAAAATTTCTTTGTGAAACTTAAAGAGAACTCAATTTTTGAAAAGTTATATTCTATCCTTAAAAGAGACTGAATGATTCTTCAAATAACTAGATTATATATTCTACTTTGTTTTCGGGGGTCTTCTTGGTTTTTCCAGAATTCTATATCTCTGGGTTTTTGTAGAAAAATATAAATTCCCAAAGCTAACTCATAATTAAACATATAAGTAACCAAATAAAAACAGAAAAAAAAAGAAGTCATTTTTTTCCCTTTAATTCTTTGTACTTTGCTCAAAAATACCACTGTGAAATTCTACAAATGTCAAGGAATAGATAACTTCTAGCTATTTAAATGTGTTAGAATATAGGAAAGCCCCAAATAACCTTAATTCATTCTATAAAGCTAGCAGAATGCTAGCCACAAACTAGAAATTGATACTATAATCAAAGGAAACTATAATAATATCAGTTGAAAACTGAAGCAAAGAAACTATTAGGAAAATGAAATAGCAGTATAATAAAACAATAATTTACTATTAAATTATTCTGAGAAATCTAATCCGTAAATGAAGTACATTCCACTAATAGCAGGAAAAAAATCCCTCTGAAGTTGAAAGGCACATAAGAAAATTTATCATCACTTCATAACTAAAATTATAGACCTTCTTTGGAAATTGGGCTAATGGTATCTATCAAAAACACAAAGTATTTCTAAGTTCACATTTATTAAAGCTTCCTGCAGAGTCCATAAAATCATTAAAGATAACATTATCAAAATCAGGACAATAAGAACTCACATTGATATGTAAGCAACAGGGGGGCTACACCTTTTACCTGAAGTTCCTGAGTTAATCTGAATAACCATCCAGGAATTAGTGTTATTACTGGTCTCAATTTTGCAGGTAAGTAACCTATCCTCAGAGAAATTTAGTAACATACCCAGAGTCACAGAGCTAGTATTAGCAGACAATCAGATAGGACACCCTTCTTCAGAATTAAGCAAGCTAGAAAAAAATATTTTAATTTTCTAACAGTTTTGATGATGTACCACTTAGTTATGGGGAATATTGTCACTCAATTTTATAGCCATTTTTGTACTGGCACTACCAACATAAAAGCCTGAGATGAGTGTCCCTGTAAAATTGAGTTCCTCTTACTCTTTGATACCATCTGTGATCATATCAGTAGGTGTTAATTTTTCTTTTGATAATATCCAAACTAATCCTATTAAGGCTAACAGTAGGAGTATGGCCTACTGCAACTTAGTACCAAAGTCCAATCATAAAAGGCAATCTTATATCCATTTATGCCTTCAAATAATATACGTTTTAACTACAATGAAGTGGTCAATTTCCTAAAGACTTTGTAAGCATCTGCCTGTAGTGTTAATTGTGTTTGTTCCCCTATCAGACCAAATAGATTAATTATAAAACAAATTCATTGTTTAATGTTATATACAACTTACTGGCTTAAAATACTCATAAAGTAGGCCAGGCGTGGTGGCTCATGCCTGTAATCCCAGCACTTCGGGAGGCCAAGGTGGGTGGATCATGAGGTCAGGAGTTCGAGACCAGCCTGGCCAACATAGTGAAAACCCATCTCTATTAAAGATACAAAAATTAGTTGGGTGTGGTGGCACATGCCTGTAGTCAGCTACTCAGGAGGCTGAGACAGGAGAATCTCTTGAACCTGGGAGGCAGAGGTTGCATTGAGCCAAGGTTGTGCCATTGCATTCCAGCCTGTGTGACAGAATAAGACTCCCTCTCAAAAACAAAACAAAACAAAAAAAACTCATAAAGTAAGGGATTTCTCTACTGTGTAGATTTTTTTTTGTTGTTGTTAATATGGCACAAATCAATTAGCAAAAATAGAACTGTTAATTGTTATTAATCATTTGTAGGTTATTTTAGGCATTTGTAAGCAATAGACATTACATCGTTCTCTTTATAATTTTCTTAGAGGCCAAAAGAAAATCCAGAAGATTAAACTTTTGTAAGATTTGTTTTCTTTTAACAGAACATACATCTCCTTTTGTTAGAGAGAGAAAAGTCTGTGGAAAAGCAGGTTTGGAAAACAAAATATGGAATTTGGCAACTTAACCTGAATTATAAAGTGATGATTTTTAAAATAATATACATCTACATATGCCTATCGGTACTTGTATGTATAGAGAATATATAGCAGCAATTCATAACATATGTTGCCCAATTTATACTTTTGTGTTTGTACTAAAATTAGGATCCTTAAACAAGCGGCAATTACATTCATTAGAAATGCATTGTTAAAAAAATCAAACTACCATCGAAGCTTAGTAAATGACCAGAGCTAATCATTTGTTTTGCTTATCCCTTTTTTTGATATGCTAAAAGCCCCTAATAAGAATAGTTAAAGCATTCAGCTGATAACTGAAGTGTGAAAACTAACATTATCTCTTAATTTGATGATAGACATTAATTGAAGCTTAGATTTTTATAGTCAGTGTTTGTCAGAAACTTTCATGTCTAGGTAGCTTGTTAAGGTGCCCACATTAAGTCCCCCAAATCATGTCTCCACAAAAAGGAATTCAAAAGTAGAGTAGAAAACTAGCTACACAAATCACCAACATTGGAAGGATAGACATCATTTTTTCTTAATCTTCTATTTATATGAAAAAGCCTGTAACAGATTGCATAAGGATCTGTTTGTTTGGGTTGGATTCTAGCAAAGAAGGCTACATGTTCACAAATAAGCCAAAACACCACATTACCTAGGGAACTAGAAGGTTGGAAGTGCTTAAGCATAAATGCAATAGACTTTTTCTCACTCTCTCAAGTGTATTTATGGGACAATGATAAGTAAAATTATTGTTAATACATTCTTTGCTTTATTTATTTTTATTGTAGAATTAAGTTCAGAATTTGGTTTTGATGCATTTCTGACGCTAAGCACACACGTGGGACTGTACACAAATACTTCCCTATGTGCACACAACACCTATAAACCTCATCCTCTGACATACATCTACACTCACATCCACACAATCTCTCTTGCTATCCATATTTATTCTAACTTTAAGCTGGGATAGTAATGTACTATTTGATACATGTATTTGTGTTTTTTTTTTTTTTTTTTTACCAGTTAGCTTGTATGTAGGTCAGGATACAAATGTTTCCTTCTGTAGTTAATATATTTTTAACATATATAAAAATTAGTTTTTTTTTCCAATTTACTGTCTCAATGTAAACTATAGCAGAGTTTATGTAACCAAATTATTGAATTCCAACTGAAAATGCTTTAACCAAGTCAGGGAGAAATATACATTTTTTAATTTTAATAAATAATTTAATTTAAATAATTTCTAGGAGATGTATTTTACATCTTTATAACACTCCTCATAATTATATTACCTTAAATCTTATTTTTTAAATATAAGCTGAAAGAAGATCTTATTTTAAATCGACTATCGTTACAAGTAAATGGCTAGAGTTGTTTGGGGCATCATCACCAAAATTTATAATTTTGATTTTCTATAATATTTTCAAAATATCAGTATCACTGTGATTCATTCTTTGATTATTCTTTGTGAATTCCTACAGTCTATCAGTAGCTGGACACTTTGCTTGATTTCAAGTGTCGAAAGATGAAGAGGCTTTTCCCCTGTTTTAATGGAGCTATGAGCTCCATTGAGTGACGGGAACAACTTGTAAATACTAATTATTATAACAGAAGTATTGAAGTAGAAGTTTTGCCCAGGGTTTCGTTAGCACATACTCATACTTCCCTATTTTAAAACTGCCCTTGTTTTTCTGTTCATAACTGCCTCTTTCTGCTTCTGTACCTCAGCTTATTGCTCACTAGCTAAAAAGCTTTAAAAAAAACCTGCTGCATGGTCTAAAAGTTATGAGTTACTTCCTCTGTCCCCTTACCTGTAAAAACTGTGTACCTTTGTTAGCAGGGGTCCAGACTTTGAGTGTGAACTCTTCTGGGCCCGCCAGCGTAATAAAGTGTTCCTCCATTTCCCTGAGTGCTGCTCGGGTTTCTTGTCAGGTAAAAATTTCCACAACATTTGGTTCCCTGACCCAAAAACTCAACGACTTTGGCCCCTTGAGCCACCAGTTTGGGGTCAGAAAGGACGGACAGCTCTCTTGTTCCCCACCGGGGAACGAGGCAAGGCACGCCCCCGCAACCTCCGCACACCCACCCACTGTAAGGTTCTACATGGCCTCCTTCCCTGGAAGGGGAACTGCTGCTGCTTTGGCATTGCAGCTCGCCGGACTCGCGGGGGAGACGGACCGAACTGAGGGGAACTCCGGATAAGGTAAAGTCCCCGGACCGAGTCTGGCCAGGCCCGCCTACGGACGGAAGGGAACCTGATCACCTCCCAGGGGGGTCTCCATTTGGAGATGGCAGGTAGATTTAGTCAGGCCGTCTGCCGTCGGAAGGGGAGCCTGATCACTTCCCAGGGTCTCCATTTGGAGACGGCAGGTGGATTTTTCGGGTTAGATTTGGAATGTGATAACCTGAGTGAGTGTGTGAGTGTGTGGGGAGCTCAAAGCCTGCTCTTGAACCTCCAATCTGTAGCTCCACCGTGCAAACTATGGAGCTGGACTGGGCCCGAGCCTGTGTTTCCTTGGCGAACCTCATATGGCTTACGGCAGCATCAAGCTGAGCACAAACTGAGCTCGATCCAAGTTGGGGGATCATATCGACTTGCTGACTGCTAAGAGGCCCCTAAGTTCCTGCAAGGGGCGTGGCCAGGTGGGCATCTGAGTGGTCCTTCACGGGACACTCCTCCTTTGTCTGTCTTGCATCACCGTTCAAAAGGGACACACATCATGGGGAAAAGTCAGTCTAAGCCCACAGTCCTAGATTGTATGGTCAAAAACTTCAGGAAGGGTTTTTCTGGGGATTATGGGGTTAAAATTACCCCAGGAAAGCTAAAAAACCCTCTGTAGATCAAAGTGGCTGGCACTTAGTGTTGGTTAGCCACCAGAGGGCACCCTGGAAGTCTCCAAGGTGCAGGCTGTTTGAAAGGCTGTGACCCGCCACCCTGGCCACCCAAACCAGTTCCCATATATTGATTCCTGGTTGGAAATAGCTCAGACTCCCCCCAACCTTGGTTTCAATTCTGTGCTGGTAGGAACGGACAGTGCAAAGTCTTTATGGTCCAAGCAGCTGAGGGACCCAAGCAACCCATTCATCAGGATGACCCCAGGGAGGAGCTGCCACTGCCTTATGTCCTTCCGGCACCATCAGCCCCTAGCCCACCAGCCTTGCCTGACCCCCAATTCCCCACACAAAGTGGGAAGATCTGAGTGCCGTCCCTTGTAGCTAGATCAGTGTGCATGCTGCAGAGAGGTGGGACACTGGAAGAACAAGTGCCCCAAGTGGACGGTCCCAGATGGGGCACCCCCCCAGAGGGAAGGCAGAATACCAGCCAGAGCCTAGCCAGGCCCACCTGATCGGCTTGGCTGGGATAGACTCAGCCAGAATGGACTCAGACTAGGACGGGCCAGGCTCTATGAAACTTGGCCCCGAGAGCCCATGGTCAAGATGAAGGTCGAGGGCCACCCAAGGACTTTTATGGTAGACACCGGAGTATAATACTCAGTAGTCACCACTCTGGTTGCCCCATTTAGCAACTGGAAGGCAACTGTTGTGGGGGCAACAGGTGACCAGGTAGAGTACCAGCCGTTCTGCCAAGATCAGATATGCTAATTGGGGGGGGGGCACCAGGTATGCCATGAGTTCCTCCACCTACCAGAATGTCCTGACTCCCTTCTGGGAAGAGAGTTGTTAAGCAACCTGGGGGTGCAAATCACCTTTGAACCCCGGGGAACCAGCCAGTCTGACTTTGAGTGAGCCAAAGGGGGGCCTGATCCTGGCAGTCACACTTCCACGTGAGGAAGAATGGAAACTGCACACTGCCAAGAGGTCAGAGAAAAACACACCAGAATTCCTGGATGCCTTCCCTATAGTCTAGGCAGAGACAAACGCCCCAGGGATGGCTAAGGCCTAAATCTGCAGACAATAGGGGAGGAACCTGGAGTTCATCATCACCAAAGGACACCGGTCCCTGGGACCAGAGAGAAAAAGGGTGATTTCCTCCATGCCCACTCCCAACACCAAGCGGAAACTCCAGGAGTTTCTTGGGGTGGCAGGCTTCTGCCGCATACAGATTCCCAGCTTCTCGGACATAGCAAGGCCCTCCTATGGGTCCTAACTGGGCCAGAAGATAGACCCCTTAAGTGGGGTGATAGCCAAGACATGGCTTTATGGGAAATGAAGGCACTGCTCCAAAGTGCCCCAGCACTAGGACTTTCAGATGTCACCCAAGAATTCAATCTGTTCATTCAGGAGAGAAACAAAACTGTACTTGGGGTCCTCACCCAGACTATTGGGCCTTAGCAGAGAGAGAAGAGAGAGACAGAAACAGAGAGGAGAGAGAGAGAAGAAGAGAGAGAGGAGAGAGAGAGAAGAAGAGAGAGAGGAGAGAGACAGAGAGAGAGAAAGAGAGGAGAGAAGTCAGTGGCACTAGTGGCTCTCAAATGCCCATTTAACCCACTACCAAGGCCTGCTCTGTGAGAACCCACAGGTCACTATTGAGACTGTGCATGGCCTCAACCCAGCCACATTTCTACCTACGGAGGAGGGAGCCCCGGACCATGACTGTGAGGAGGTGGTAGATGAGGTCTCTGCTAGTTGGCCAAACCTCAAGGACTGTCCCCTCCCAAAGGCAAACTTAAACCTGTTCACCAACGGAAGCAGCTATGTCCAGAATGGGGAGAGGTATGCAGGGTATGCAGTCACCACTGCCACTGAAGTGGTCGAGGCAGCCCCCTTGCCCAGAGGCTGGTCAGCACAATGGGCAGAATTACATGCTCTCATTCAGGCCCTGTGCGGCTCAGAAGGCAAAGCGGTCAGTATTTACACTGACTCCAAGTACACCTTTGCAACTGTCCACATACATGGGGTGACATATAAATAAAGAGGGCTGCTAACAGCAGGAGGAAAAGAAATCAAAAATAAGGAAGAAATTCTCAGACTGCTAAAAGCAGTTTGGAAGCCCAAAGAGGTAGCTGTCATACATTACAAGGGCCACCAAAGAGGTCCTGATCTTATCTCTGCAGGAAACTCGCTGGATGACAGAGAGGCTAAGGCAGCCACACTGAAGAAAGAGCCTGTGCAGGCCCCGCCCACTTGTTCATAGTCACCCCTTGGCTACGAGAGGATGTGGGAAAGCCAGAGTACTCTAGGGAAGAAAACCAGTGGGCACAGCAGGAGGAGGCAAAGCAAACTGCTGGGGGATGGTGGCTACTCCCTGACAACAGACCAGTGGTGCCTAAGAACTTGGCTCATACTGCTGTTGCTCAGTGCCATGGTCTCACCCACCTAGGTAAACTGCTCTGGAGACCTTACTCAACAGGTATTACTGTACTGCAACCCTTCCCAAACTCTGTGTTGCAGTAAGCAATCAGTGCCTTACCTGTGCTAAAAATAAGCCCCCACAGTGGCTGAAACCTGCCCCAGGAGGGCAACGGGTGGGCACTACCCCTTTGAGGACATAGAAGTAGACTTCAATGAAGTCAAGCCCAGTAAAGGTACAAATACTTACTGGTCCTTGTATGTACATACTCAAGCTGGGCTGAGGCACTCCCAACTAAGACGGAAAGAGGCTGAGAAGTAGTGAATGTCCTACTTCATGAAATTGTTCCCTGATACAGGATTCCACTCACCATACACAGTGACAATGGACCAGCATCTGTGGCAGGGATCATCCAAGCCTTCACCAGCGTGCTAAAGATTAAGTGGGAACTTTAAGCAGCCTTCAGGACACAAAGTTCAGGGAAAATGGAGCACATGAATCGAATCTGAAGGTTACACTAGCAAAGCTCTGTCAGGAAACCCAGGCTTCCTGGGTAGATATGCTTCCCCTAGCCCTGTTGCGGTGACAGTGTGCACCGGGACCCACCGGTTACTCACCCTTTGAAATCCTATTCAGGAGGCCCCCCACTCTGGTTAACAAAATAAGGGGAGACCTCAGACAGCTAGGGGATACAAGCATAACCTCCCAGCTGCAGGCATTGGGAAAGGTGCTGTCCCAGGTCAGTTAGTTTATGATAGATAGAGCACCTATCTCCCTAGCCAATCCAGTACATCCCTTCCAACCTGGGGACCAGGTCTGGGTGAAAGATTGGAAAAAGGAACCCCTCCAGCTTGTCTGGACAGGGCCCCATACTGTAGTCCTTGTCACCCTAACTGCTCTCAAATTTGCAGGAGTCGTTCTGTGGGTACACTATTCCAGAGCCAAGCGGGCCCACTCAGACACATCGCTGGACTGGTGGACTGCACATCAGACACTCGACACCCCACGAAAATCATGCTCCTGCGAGCTGAATCCTGAGAACTCATCAAGCCCTGCTCTAGTCACACAACCAGAAGCTAACTACTCAACGCACGGCTGGAGCTTGAGGAGCCTCCACTGAATCAGCAAATGTGGACTGAAACCTTAACACTTAGAACTATTCTGACAGCATTTGTTGTTCTATTGTTGTGCTGTCATCATTGTTGTCCCTTCAGGGACATTCCTTGTCCTTGTCTAGTATAAAATGTCACCCCCTGTTTTGCTATTAATAATCTTCTTCACACTTGCCTTTGGCCCATGCCTAATTAACATACTTCGGTGCTTCACTGAAGCCACAGTAATTAGAAAAACAAATGCTCAGTTGCTGGCCCTCCGCGGGTACAAGTTGCTAAATACAGGCACCAGAGTATAAAGGTGATGCTCCCTAATATCCATAAGAGAGCATCAGAGGTGGGGATGAAGTGGAAGTTTTGCCCAGGATTTTGTTAGCACATAGTCAGCAACTTCCTTATTTTAAAGCTGCCCCTGCTTTTCTGCTAATAACTGCCTCTTTCTGCTTCTGTACCTCAGCTTATTGCTCACTAGCTGAAAAGCCTTGAAAAAACTGCTGCATTGTCTAAAAGTTGTATGAGTTACTTCCCCTGTCCCCTTACCTATAAAAACTGTGTACTTTTCTTAGCGGGGGCCAGACTTTTGGGTGTGAACCCTTCTGGGCCCGCCAGCGTAATGAAGAGTGTTCCTCCATTTCCCTGAGTGCTGCTTGGGTTTCTTGTCAGGCAAAATTTTCCGCAACAGCATAATGGATATGAACAGGGGCAGGGATGTAGAAGACCTACAGGACAGCTCCACAATAGATTAGATTCTGAACACAGATCCATGCACAGAGGGATAGAATGTCAGAAAAGCTGAAGACGCCATTCAAAATACATCATCCAACCTAGATTTCAGAATCTCTTGCAATTGTTTATGATCGATCTAACTAGTATGTCCATGTATATAGAGATTCTTTACTCATATTAAAGCAAGCTGAAGACATGCATTTGAGTAGATGGGTTTATTATTGTTTAGATTGTGTTTTGGGTTTTTCAGTTGCTGTTATAATGAAACAAATGCTATCTGTAAAGTAACGTGTGAATCAGAAAAGTTCATACATATATACATTGTATATAGTAAAGTATTTAAACAAAATTTTGAGTCAATGGACAACTTCTCATGTCTCTCAGATCTGATGAGTGCTTTTCAGATACAATCCCTGAAGAAATACATGGAGCTTGAAAGCACCCGTGTTCATTTTTATTAGTTGATGATCCTAGGTAACTGATGGTAACTTTTTTTTCTTTTTTTTTTTTTTCTTTCTTTTTATTTTTCTTGAGACAGGGTCTCGCTCTGTCACCAGGCTAGAGTGCAGTGGCTCAATCTCGGTTTGCTGCAACCTCCATTTCCAGGGTTCAGGCAATTCTCCTGCCTCACCCTCCCAAGTAGCTGGGAGTACAAGCATACAACCCCACAACCAGCTAATGTTTGTATTTTTAGTAGAGATGGGGTTTCACCATGTTGGCCACGATAGTCTCAATCTCTTGGCTTCCTAATCCTCCCACCTCAGCCTCCAAAAATGCTGGGATTACAGATGTGAGCCACCATGCCCTGCCCACTGATGGTAATTTTACTTTTGGCTCTGAGAAAGGAAAACAGTGATGAAAGGAATGGAATATGATTAACGAAGTGTATAGAAACAAAATAAGAAAAGATAATTTTTTGGTTTACTTATGATTCCTTTCATGAAATTGCATTATTATTTAAAAAAAAACTAGTTTATTTTTTATTAGTTTTTTAATATATATGAAATTATTAAAAGCTAATACTTGCCAGGTTTTTATGGTCCAAAATAGCCACCCGAAAATGTAATGTAGATATTTTTCTAAACACATAAATTTCCATGATTTTCCCCTACTGCACCCAGTAGAATGGATACTAAGTATGACATTACCAGCATGCTCCAAATTAAGGAACTGTTTATCTTTGTCATTAAAATCTCCCTTCCCTACATATATACCTCTAACACCCTTCAATGAAAGGTTCAATGCACAATATTTTTGGTACAATTTGAATGTGACTAATTTTGTTGTGGTGGTATTCTGTCAACATAAATAATACTTGACTCTAGCTCTGTGTGCATTTGTGCACAATTTTATGGAATTTTAAGAATATTGATTCTGTGTCATTGATTGAGATAAGAAGAGATCATCATCAACTCTTCTAGAAGGTCTCTTTAGCCTCTAGATACCTATTTTTCTGCCTCTCTTACTGCAGACAAATAAAAGAAGCATCCAGTTACTTTTATGTGAATGTTTCTGGGGCTCTGATCCTATAAGGGCATCTTTTAATTTTTCCATAGCAACTTTTTTTAGAATCCACAGATTCTGTTTTCTCTTCAGCAAGTAGACTACAAAAACAATGCATGCTCAAACTACAATTTTGAAAAGAGAAAATGATTTCAAGAAAAAAATGAGTGTCATCATTAATACCTTCAATATTTATTATATGCATATTAATTCACTTCCATGTGTGTCTCAAAACCTGAAATATTAAG